CTCGTGTGTAGTTTCAGGCTACTCACCTGTGCGTTTATATCCACCTGCCCGGTGCTTAGCAACAGCATGACCACCTCCAGATTGCCCAGTTTAGCGGCGTGATGAAGACCTGTGGAGCCGTCGTCTTCCTGGACCACACACACACACACACGCATGCATGGACCCACAAAAAAACACACACACACCAATCAGAACACCCCAATAATGTTTCTGATCACTGAACACAAAACAATGTGCATTTGATAGTGTGATAAACACAGGAGTGTGTGTGTGTGTGTGTTTTTGTGTATCATGGGTATGCCACAGGAGGTGGTGAATTATAAGGACATTGCTGATGTCTCCATTTCCCCAAAAGCTTATAAATCACACAGAATGAGTTTAATTCAGAAGGAAAACAGCAGTTTGCTGAGAGTGTTGGGTTAATGGACAGCGTGGAGCGACAACATACAGTTTATACTAGGGATGTCCAATAGTATCTGGATGCAGCCTTTATGATGCAAGCTGAGACTGCATCACTCAGCAATGCAATGTCAGACACAATGCACTCAAATGGAGCGAGTGACCTCGCTGTGAGGGGTAGGGTTAGGGGTGGGGTTAACTGAGCCCATTAAAAAGCATTGGATGCAGCTCAGATTGCACTGCACCAGGTCAGCATCCAGACCACTCTCGGGATGCCCCGATCAGGTTTTTTTGCTGAGTCATTTGATTTTGAGTATCTACCAATAGCGAAACCCGATCCGATACTTGTATAACACATAAAAGTGAATAAAGAAGAGCAAAGAAACAGATCCAGGATGATCCTTATTTTTTATTTAATTTACCTCATTTTAACATTCAACATCTCTGTTAAAGAGCCCCTATTTTGCATTATAAAGTGTAATATTTTGGTGTTGGGGTCTTCAGCAACAGGCTGATCTGCATGCAGAGTCTTATAATGTGCATTTATTTTTACATAATTCTCCCATATGATTGGTTCAGCGATTCATTTGTTACCAAACCCCTCCTTAGCACGAGGCTAATCTGCTCTGATTGGTTCTTTTTAATATATATATATATATATATATATATATATATATATATATATATATATATATATATATAT